ACTGATTTCAACCAATAATATCAAACATCCACCCGTCAATCAATCTGCAACTTTTAGCCACACAGAGCGAAGATTCATTAGTTAGCTCACTGATTACTGTACAATCACACAACTTTATCAGTGATTTAGTGAAACTGGATCATATTTTATGGAGAGAATATTGTCTGGTTTCCCTCTGACGTCCTCCGGCTGCTCTGCCTCAACTCCACTAACTGCTAATGTAGCTGCTGTTAGCAACTGAACGGGTCAAACTGTCCTCAGTCGGCATCAGATGCTGCATTCAGTCCTGGTGACGTATTCTCTTTATCATCACTCACAATAATGAAACTGTTCCACGAGCTCTGTAGGTGGATGTAAAGTCTGGACGTATGTGAAACGGCGTACAGGTGCAGCTCGGCCTCCCTCTCCTCCCTGCCGCTCTCGCACTCTCTTCTCAACAGGCGAGACAGAACTGAACCGATCCTCGTCGGCACCTGGAACATCAACACACAACCGGTTGTCATCTTCTTCTCAAAGGATGAATGTAAAGAAGATAAACAGCCGCAATGTCAGTCACAACCCGCCCGTCCGTACCTGGCCTGACTCTGGGATGTTCAGTCTTTGATCCGAGGGTGACAGGGGTGAGGTGGGGGAGCTGGTGGGGGAGTAGAGGGAGAGAGGGGTGGAGGGAGGCTGGACTCCCGGGAGGCCCAGAGTCTCTGAGTTTGGACAGGAGGCAGAGCGTGTGGGCGCTAACATGTGAACCTCCTCCGTCCCTCTTTCACTGTGGGTCCTGGTGAGCAGGCAGAGGTGGAAGAGCAAAGAGAGGGATCAGACTCAGATTATTCATACAAAATGTAATTATATAGAGACACAAACAGCAAATTATTAGTAATCAAAGGAACCAATAACTGATGTTTGGAACCGATATATCTGCACTAAAATGGATGTTTAAAGTACAATTTTGAGGTACTTGTACTTTACTTGAGTACTAGACGCAGGTCTCCTTTACTAGGTGTCTCCATTAGAGGCCTGGTCTTGATTTTATTGAAGTTCTTTGGATGTATAAAACCTCTGAAAACCCACCGGTCTGAGGGAGTTCTATATAAAAGTTAATAAATACCAGAATAAATAATAACAACTACTAACTTTATATTACAACATTAACTCCTGATTGTTCATTCGTGGCTATAGATATTTTTACCACACTTTGGCTCAGGTGTTGGGAATGAAAGAACAGGGTTCAGTGATTGGATCTGTCGGCTTTTATGTTTTGTGTCATTTTATTTAGCAAATTTAACGTTCTGCGTCTGAAGAACGGGAGCCGCTCAGTGACAGAGCGTTTCACACACTGACCGGAAGAACGAGGAAAGAAAAAAAAAAAACTTGCTGTACAGTGCGGTGATTAACAGTTCCACTGGTTTGACGACAGGGAATACAGTTTCAAGCTGATCCCCAGAAACCGATGAGGCGTTGATTATGGACGGGTCCGGGGGGCTGGCACATTGGAAAATGTAAACACATTGTCCGACCTATAACAGGAACGTCTCCAATTTATTTTATTGGCAATCTGATCAAAATAACGACACTAATAACCAGGCTGATGTGATGTTGCTGACCTGCAGATCTCTCTCATTTGAACCTGATGATTCAAAGGTTGTGAACTGTTTTCCCCAAAGATTAATCATTACTGTGTGTGTGTGTGTGTGTGTGTGTGTGTGTTTAATGACGTCCCGGTGGGTGAACCACGCGTGAGCAGTGAGACAGATGAGCATGAGACAGTGTTTACATCACACTCATCAGTTTTACAGCCGCGCCGCATTCGCTCGTAACCGGGCAACAGTTGGCTGTTCAGTGACAGTAAATGTGTTCACACGTCTCTTCAGTCAGAAACCACAGAGGAAGTGAAGCAGGAATATAATCCCACTGGAGCCGACCGGATAACAAACAGGACGCAGAGAACGTGGATCCACAAACAACATTCATTTATTCACTCTACGGTTTAATGCTCCACATTAAAGCCACAGTCGAGGAATCCTCCACATTATAAAGACTAATTAGAACTTAATAAATGATAAAAACACATAAACATGTTTCTGTTTCTGCACTTTTAAAGAACATTTCTGGAACAAATTAAAACATTTTGGCTCTCAAACGTAACACTGTGGTTGCTGATGGTTCTGTGAATGTCCTCAGTGAACAGTGACAGTGAGCAGCAGCTCAACTGAGCCCTCTTTATAAATAAGTCCTGAGCTACCTGAGACACCGAGGAGGATCATTACAGCGACAGGCAGAGAGAGGCAGCTTTCACTGGACACATGATTCAATTGTTCTGAACCGAAAGTGGAAGATGATATTGGGCTGTGGTATATGTACACACACATTTAGCTGCAGGTATGTAGCTCCTAAACTTTAACCCTCCGCCTTCTTCCTCCCTCTCTCTCTCATAACCCTGCAGACAACAGCAGCTTAAAGCTTTTATAGCACAGTTTGTCTGTCTCCGTGACTCCCAGACACAATCTCTCCAGCTAAATAACGTAAAGTTACAGCACACAGCGGAAAGTCTGAAGTGAATTGCTTCTGCATGGAAAGAGACGACAAACACTCTCATTTAGAGTTTGTTTCAAAGTATAGATCAGTATTGATTTAAGGTTGGTGGTGGTAGAGGTAAAGACATATTTTAAACTTTAAAGCTCTAATCTGTACCGTCATCCTCATTAAACAGTGTATAA